AGTGTTGGCATTGAGCACCATTTTAGTTGGAGCAGCTCAAGAAAACCTTCCTGATATGCTTACATGTGGGGTGTAGTTTTAAGGAAGTGAGGAAACCCAAGGAAAAAGCTTTCTGCCTAGGAGAAATGTAAATGCAAAATTAAGAGATTCTTTTGCTGTTGAAATTTGTTGCATTTTCCCCCCAGCTCTGTTGAGAAACACTGAGGGCATGGATCTATTCAGGTTAGGCACACTCTTTACCACTGGGCAACTAAGTAGACCATGGTGTAAGAGTCACTCACTATCCACGACTCCTCAAGTGGCTGAAGCAGGGGGTTGGTTTGCCAGCATATGCAACACAAAAAAAACCCCATTTCAGGAAAATAAAATCACAATTAATGTTAGTGTTTTCAGAATTCTCAAGTGAGCACACAGTCTTGAAGTCAGAGAGTTCTTCCTGCCTCTGTTTTGTGGTTTTTGTAAGATAGGATGTTTTGTATCCCAGACTTATGAATCTCTCTATGGGTTTAGGATGATCTTGAAATACTGATTTTTTAAAATCAATTTACAAGTTACATGTATTTTGATTTATTATCCAGACAGATAACCAAGTACCTAATTATCTTCAAAGATTGATATTATAGATATTCTTTATGATCTGGTCAAAAGCAAACTTCTTAAAAGAAAATAGTGGACAAAGAGGAAAAAAGGTAGGGGGATTAACAATGATGATGAACTTAACTCTGCCACATGAATAATTTTTGGAGCTGGCTCAGCAATTAAGAGCACTGGCTGCTTTTCCAGAGGTCCTGAGTTCAATTGCCAGCAAGCACATCGTAGCTGACAACCAGCTATAACAGGATCTTCTGGTATTTAAGTGTACATGCAGAGCACTCACAAATAAAATATGAGCACCCATATATAAAATATAAATATACTTAAAGAGATTTATTTATTTTTAAGTATATGAGTGTTTTGCCTACATGTATGTAAGTTCACCAGATGTGTACATTGCCCTTAGAGAACAAAAGAGGGTATTAGATTCCTGGGAGCTAGAGCCAGAACTGATGGTGGACTGTCCTTGGGTTCTGGAAACCAAACTCTTCTGTAAAAGCAGAAATTAATGGCTTAACTCACCATTCATGGCTGAGTTATTTCTACGGACACACTCCTGGTATCCTGGTATCTCACCAAATGGAGTTTCCATAGTTAAAGCAGGTCAGAGGCTAACACACTTAATATTACTTCCAGCTGTGCAAACCAGTAGTCAGAGTACGAAAGAAAAGTGAGGAGAGGATGGATTTGGTTCATCTGATGCATTTTGGATACAGACAATAGGCCCTCAGAGACCAGAACTCACTTTGTTTATAAACGGAAAAGATTTTCTGGCACAGATATTTCAGTTATAACTGCCATCCAGTGGCCTTCTAAGTGGCCAAAAACGGAGACTATTACACAGCTACAAGGAATTGGTCAGACTAGAAATCCTGAGCAGAGTAGTAATGACCTGCATTGGGAAGATGAGGAAGGCCATGAAGGAACTTTTAAGCCGTATATTATTCCTTATTTACCTGTGAACTTGTGGGGCCGAGATATCATGTCCAAAATGGGAATATAACTGAAATATCCATGCTGGGAAGGAGGAATGTCTGGCAGATGACATGAATCTTTGGCCTGAGATGGACATAGGCTAGAATCTTGCCGGTAAGCCACAGTCACATGGTGATACACAGACTTAATAGAAATGGATTAATCAAGATGTGAGAGTTAGCCAATAAGAGGATAGAGCTAATGGACCAGGCAGTAATTTAATTAATACAATTTCTGTGTGATTATTTTGGGGGTTAAACTAGCCGGGCGGCTGGGACAAACAAGAGGCCCCACTCCTCACTACAACACTCGAGGGGAACCAGGAAGCTGCCAACGTGACTACTAGTTGGGGGAAAGAGGGAAAATCACTAAGGGACTCACCCGGGAGCAGTTTAAATAGACTGGGGGAGTGATCAAGATTTGGCAGGCTGCCTTGACCCTCCTCCAGGGGAGGGGCCAAGGTTTGGCAGGTGCAGTGGTGTGGCCTTCAAAGATGGAGACCCAAGACTGGGACTTACAGTAATTCTATGTGCTTGAATATCTGGGAATATTTTAAATGAAATGCTTTTTACCTGGACCAAACACTGACCAATTGCTTGTCAATAAAAGTAATTGCAGGGGGGCAGATCCCTGAATTTACATAGGAAAAACAGCCTGGCAGTGAGAAACTGTCTTCACACATAGCTAGGGAAGTGTAATCAGTAAACCCCAAAGCATAGGAAAGACAGTAGTCAGTAAATGATCAAATATCTCAGAAATGTGGGAATTCTCAAATTTGTAACAGAAAGGGAATCAGCTACAGTAAAAAATCTACAGTAAAAAGTACCAATTAATTCACAAGGCAATAATGCCAATTTGCCCTGTGTCTTGGCTTAAACATCCATCAGAGCTCTTAGCTCTGATTAGTTGCCTTGTGAAATGAAAGTGGTTTTAATTACTGAATGATTCTTCAGTTTCTAGCAGGGGTGGGACCTCCAAGGACCTTCCTATTTCGCCTCCCTATGAGAAGCCATGAACTGCAGGCAGGGGGCTGGGCCTCCCAGGTTCTACTTTCCCGTGTATGGGGCGCATGGCCTGCAGTTAGGGGGTGTGACCTGTCAAGTCTTACCTACTCCCCCACTGTGAGTGAGGGCATTAGGTGGCAGGCCATCTGTGAACTTCCTGGTCACCCAGAGTGACATATCCACAGTCTAAGTGGACCACGTGGGTAAGCATGGCCTGCAGTTATGGAGCAGCACCTTTTGTGAACTTCCTGTCCATAGAGCAGGGACACACCCCCGGTCCCAATTGTGAGAGGGCATGGCTGACTGTGGCACCCCTTACAGAATGTGGCGCTGCTGTAAGAAAAGACTGATATCAACCAGCTGACCAATATCTTCTACTGCAAGTTCTGAAAACTCTACAGAGGTCATGATCTGTTCTTTGATGCACTTGACCTGGAGAGGCAGAATGACCACGTGAGCTTCAGTGGGGGCAAAGGTGGGGTCTCAGGTGAGGTTGGGACTCAGAAGTACAGCGGCTTAGATACAGACTTTGACCTGGTGCAGCACAAAGACCACAGTGAGCTTGGGTGGGGGTGGGGCCTGGGGTGAAGACAGTGGCTGCAGTGCTGGGGGCCATGGGGCAGAGGGTGGGGTTGTGGGTCTGCGAGATGGAGGGAGGGGCCTGGGATGGAGGGGATGGGGCATTAGGATGGAAGGTAAGGGCAGGGATGGGGTCTTTGGGTAGAGGATGAGGCCTGGGATGTGGCAGGGGTTAGAGTGTGAGGCTGTCAGATATAGGGGCAGAGGGTGTGTCCATGAGCAAAGGGCAGGACTATCAGATGGAGGGGCAGAGTCTTAGATAGAGGGAGGGATTGTGGATGGCGGGGTGGGGCCTGGGGTAGAGTGCAGGCTTCAGGGATAGAAGGGCAGAGTTAATGGAAGAAAGGATGGGGCTGTCAGATCTAGGGGCGGGTCTATGGTGTGGAGGGCAGAACCATTGGCAGAGAGCAGGGCTCAGGTATTGAAGGTAGTAGTTTGACAGAGGGGTGAGGCCTGGGATAAAGGGGCTGTGCTCAGGGATGGTGGGGCAGAGCCAGGCCCCAGTCATCAAGTGTAAACACTACCCTGCCTGGTTTTTCTTGTGACCATCTCCTCCAAGATGATTGACAGGATCTTCTCATGCACCTTGATGTGGTAGGTGCTTCTGTGCTGCGTCATGTGAGGTCCTGTAGGTGGCAAGGAAGGGGTGGTGGTGGTTCCAGAGTGTCACTGTCATCACTCACGTTCTCTGTCATGTGACCAGGGTCACAGTACATGTGATACCTTCTGCCCCTTGGCTGCTGTTTGGGCTACACGTCCCACGTCACTGTTGGTGGTGGGCGGTCATGTTTCTGTCAGTGGGTGATTTCATCACTGTGAGTGATGGGTGGGGCTGCTCTATTAGCAGTTATATAAACCCCATGAGAGGCCCCATGTTCCCTGACCCCGACATGTAGGCGGAAGGTGCAGCAGGATGGAAAAGTCAGCTACATGGACTTGGTGTGGTTCCTGATCTCAGATGAGGACAAAGAGACACAGACCAAGTGGGCAGATTCTAGTCCACCGTCTGTGACTATCTGTGGCCCCTGTGTTGTCACTCCATATTCTGTCAGATGCTCGTGTGGGATAATGGGCAGCGCAGTTAGATGCTCATGTGTGACATGGGACAACGCACTCAGGAGATGGGTCAGTGTCTCTACAGCTAAATGCACACGGTCAACTGTCACCTGAGTTCTGTGCCAGGAACCCACTTGAGGGACGTGACTGAGCTCCACGCAAACGGCCCCGAGCATGACACACATACACACACACGTCACCTCGTGCAGTCCCAAGCGTGACACACACACGACACATACCCACATATATATATCACACATGCAAGCGCATGCATACACATACACACACAGGTCACCTCAGCTGTGGTACCGAGCATGAGACCCTCATACACACGCATACATACATCACCTTCGCTTTGGAGAGCGTCTGTGGGACTGCACTGCAGCTGGGGCTAAGGATATGAGTGTCCGATGTCCCACACAGCGGGTTAAGTCACAGTCCTCAGCCCTTTGCTGTTGCAAGTCTCCTGGACTTAGTAATTTTCTCTACCAGGGACCAGAGTGGACCCGCCTCCCGCCAATCAGTAGCCTATCTCTGGGGCAGTCGCTGGAAGCCCCGCCCCGCCGCCTTTGAGCGCTCAGGCCTCCAGTGTCTGCTGGTGCGGGGCTCTGGCTCTTGCACCCTCGCCCCAGCCTTGGCCGCTCGCCCCACCCCTAACGGCCCAGTCCCAGTCCCCGTTGCCCACGCCTTCCGGACGTCCTCCTGGGCTCAAGTTCTCGCTTAGCCACTGAGTTGCTGCTCGCCCCACCCCCAGGCCCCGTTCCTGCCAGCTCCTCCCACTCCAGGGACCGCTCCTCCTTTCCGGTCACGTCCCCAGCATGGCGGCCACGCGCGCTGCCGTACGACCAGCGCTCAGGCTCTTGCTTAGCCGCGGCCTGGCCCCTCGCTATGCCACGCCGTGCCCGCCACAGCCGGCCCGCGCAGGCAGCGTCGACATCCGGAGCCCCTGCGGCAGAATTAGGAGTGGCTCCCACGTCCGTAGCTGGGAGAGCAGGGCCGGGGTGGTGAGGGAGGACGGAGAGGAGCCCGAGGAGGAGGAGGAGGAGGAGGAGGAGGAGCTGCTGAGCAGGGAACCACTGCTACCCGCTGCGGCCCAGCGTGTGTGCGTCCTGCATCCTGACGTCAGGGGTCGCGCCGGAAGGAAGGCGCACGACACAGGTCAGCGGAAGGGCGGGGCCGGGAGGAGACAGGCTGCCTGGGCATTGGTTCAGAAGGGGAGGTATGAGGAGAAAGAAAGCTGGTGCGGACGCCCTGGGAGGCGCACAGGGGACAGGGGAACTACTATGGGTATCAGCGTGGAGGAGTTTTGGTGGGGCAGACGTGGTTTGTGTGTGCTAGCCTCCCTGGGATCCATCCCCGGGGTCCATGCGAGCTGCGGCTCCCGATGGATGCCATCTACCCCCTGTCTGTCCCCTCACAGAGTGTCAGGTGGCGGAGGCTGCCGCGCTGGTGCGCGCATTGCATGGCTGGTCGGTGGTGCGGACCCTGGTGGTGCCCACGGGGGTCCCAGACAGCAAGTTTGTCTTTGGCAAGGGAAACTTCCAGGAGCTGACGGGTGAGTAGCCCGCCCCTTCATGTGACATGCTCCCTGCCCAACTGGTGTACCTGTGCATGCATGCGTGTTCTTGCTATGTGAATGCATGTGCTTCCCTCTGTGTACGTCCCATTGTGTATATTTCTCTTTGTGCATGTGTGTGCTTTCCTCTGTGCAGTGTTGCAGTGTTACTCAGCACGCACATGCATGTGCATGCCTCTGTGTAGCTTGTGCATGGTTCTCAGTGTGCACATGTGTGTACCTTCCTCTTTGTGTAGCATGTGCACACCCAGACTTGCCTGCAACTGACGGACCCGTTTCCCTACTCCTCAGAGAAGATCAAGGGATCCGTGGATATCACGTGTGTGTTTCTGAATGTAGAGAAGATGACAGCTCTGACCAAGGTATGGAGTGTGCAATTTTGACCCATGTGTGTCAACTCCACCCTTTCCCCTGACCCTCCTGTGCCCGAACTTTCCCCTCCCTCTGAGCCCCAAGTCCCATCTCACTCCTTTCTCTATCCCTGGGTCTCTGACCCCTGTGTCCTGGCCTGACCTGTTTCTCTGACCCCAGGACCCTGACCCCTCTCATTCCTCTGCGCCCCCCCCCCAGTCCCAGCGTCATCCTTTACCCTGCTCCCTCTCTCCTGGCACCCATCTCCTAGCCTTTCCCCTTCCCCTGACCCTTTTTTTCCCATTTCCTGGCAGAAGACCCTGCAGACTGCCTGGGGCGTTCATGTGTTGGATAGGTTCACTATTGTACTGCACATATTCCGCTGTAATGCCCGCACCAGGGAGGCCCGGCTGCAGCTGGCACTGGCGGAGATCCCCCTGCTCAGGTGGGTTACACCTTCTCTGATGGGTCACTCCTGGAATTACCTGGCACAAGTTAAAAGGAAACACGGAACAAGTAACAAACCCGCTTAGGAGTTAGGAGGTGTGCACAGGCCTGGGAAGTCAGTGTGCAGAGAAAGGGATGGCATGTCCAGCTTTTAAAAACTGCCTAGCACTTGCTCACAGTGGGTTGATGTGGCTACTTCATATGCAGATGACAGGACTCACGCAGGCGTACAAGGGCTTAGCTGAGTCATACGTGGATCACAGGAGTCCCTTTAACATCCCCGGGGGCCATTGGACACTTCTGCGGGAGGGCTTGTCTTCACATGCATGGCACCTAGAACAGCCTTATGTGACTGACATCATTACATTCCATCCTTTTGTTTATTATAAAAACTTGGAGAGTTTGGGGTCTTTAATGGGTGGGAATGGGACGTCGTCTCTTGTGACTGCTTCTTGGTGATTTTGTGGGCGTTGGAGAGTTGAGTTATTTGACCATGTCCTGGGGTGGCTGATTACTTTAGTGTTTTTTCTGGGTTCTGTGGAATTAACTGGCTGGCAGCTTGGGCTGCGCAAGATGTTGGAAAGGCAGACAATTCTGTCTGGAAAATCACTGGTGATTTAGATCCTGGTGATTAAGGGAGGAGAGTCCCAAGATGGAGAGATAGAGTTTTTTTTGGGGGGGGGTGGAGGAGGGATTTTTCCAGGGGTTCTTGAGACCAGGAATGATAAGGGATGAATTAAATGATACTTATTCTGGGTGAGTCTGGTCCATTTAGGAAGGTCCAATTGGCTCCCTGGAGCTTGTGAAAAACTGTTTGAAAAGAAATAAATTTTAGACATATTAAAAGCTTATGCATGGAAGAAAGTGGGGAGGAGGGAGGAAAAGAAGGGGGAATTATTAGAAAGGGGAATATTAGACTTCTTAATGTTTTACCTGAAGCAAATCATAAGGCACTTGTTCTCTTTAGCATCATGGTATTACCTTAACATCCAGGAGACACTGCTGCAGTCAGTGATAAACCTGTTATGTTAAAGTCTGTGTTGTGAGTGTTTGGAGTCTGGGGCTGTGAATGTCCTCAAACTCGTTATTGTTTCTTACCACCTGGGCTTTTGGAAATTCTTTTTTTTTAATTAATTAATTAATTTATTTATTTATAAAAATTTCCACTTCCTCCCCTCCTCCCAATACTCTCCCATTCCCCCCCACTCCCTCTCCTCCTCCCTCTCTAAGAGCAGTCAGGATTTCCTGCCCTGTGGGAAGTTCAAGTTCCTCCCCGTTCCCTCCAGGTCTAGGAAGATGAGCATCCAAACAGACTAGGATCCCAAAAGGCCAGTACATGCAGACGAAACAAGACCATTGTCTGATGGAGGTGGGCCTCTGTTATGTGTTATTTTCATTGGTTAATAAAGAGACTGCCTTGGCCCTTTGATAGGACAGGAAATTAGGTAGGCAGAGAAAACAGAACAAAATGCTGGGAAGAGGACAATGGGGCAGACGCCATGGAGCCAGCCACCAGGTCAGACATGCTGAATCTTTTCCGATAAGCCACCACCTCGTGGTGCTACACAGATTATTAGAAATGGGTTAATCAAGATGTGAGAGTTAGCCAGTAACTAACTCTCTAGAGATAATGGGCCAGGCAGTATTAAAATGAATACAATTTGTGTGTTGTTATTTCTGGGACTAAGCTAGCCGTGCGGGAGCTGGGTGAGGCGAAAAACAGGCCTGCCCGCAGCCCCTCACTACATATGGCGCCCAGACGTGGGTAACTAAATCCACAGAAAGCCTGAGAAAGCTTGGGAAAGAATAGAGTAAAGCATGTTTTCTTGGTATGGTAGCAGCAATTTCTCAGGTCTACTCTGCTTGCTAGAGGCAAGCAAGGCTCTCAGCTAAGAGAGGCTTCCTGACTCAGCTTTAGCGGCAAAACCCTGTAGCTCATTAAGAGGTCCTGCCACGAAACACAGTGTTGATCAAAAGCTGAACGCGTGCTTTTCGGTTTTCAACCGTAGCAGGAAAAAAGCTGCGCTGTTTTAAAATGCCGGCTTTCTGGACTGTCCTGCCAGGGCAATCTCTGACTCTTTCAGGCGTTAGCTGAAATGATGCACATCTTGTACAACATTCTGGCCAGTTCTCCACAAAATACTCAGACTCTTTGCAATTTTAAAAGACATTGATCTTGAAATTTAACCATCATTTTGCTTTCACAGAATCCCCCAGAAAAAACGTCGCCCCCATGACAGCTGGAAGTAATTCTAGAGAACGACGTCCCCTCTCCCAGTAAAGTTTGTCCTTGGGTTTAGGGACATCATTTAGCGGTTGGTTATAATTAGTATAGGGTTGAGGGTTGGGGGAGGAATTTTATAATTTTATATTTTACCATATTGCATTGTACACTTCTACCTCTGATTAAGATACTTATATATTGTTTATGTATTGATATATATATTTACCATATTGCAATGTATACTTGCACATTGTTTATATTTGGAGGTCACATTGTCCTCATTTATTGCACAGTTGTTTATTATCTCAGTCTTTAAGCTAAATAGATATTGAGAATTATATAGAACAATAGTTATCTAAGTTTGACATTTATAATTAGACTAATCAGGCTCTTTAGATATATAGAGATTATATTCAGTATAGATAGATAATCTCCAACCTCTTCAAAGAGCTGTAGAAAATGGCCTTTAATCTAACTCAGAGTTCTGTGGTAGTGAGACACAATTACTCCTGGCAACACCGATCTATTCCCGAGAGAATGTTGAGCACCAAAGACACTCCACCTGGAGCCTTTCTTCTTGGCAGAACTGGCCTTTGGGTAAAGAAATGCCCATACCTCAACTACTGACAGAGTTACAAATATTCGTAAATAGATAAAACAGGACTGTCATATCCTGCCAAGACAGGGTAAGATAGTTTTGAAAAGTTCCTTGCCTTTGAAAATGGTATGTCAGTTATGTTAGGCCTTAGCCAAAGTTGGTTGCTTCAACGCTGCAAATGTGACTTTGGGTGTTTGCCCAGGTAGCCAGTTGTCTCTATGATTTGTTATATCTTCTGGAAGTTTGATTGCACTTCCTAATTACTCAGGTAACATTATTTCCCTTCTCAGATCTTTGATGGGATTGAAGATTATATAAACGTAGTTACTTTCCTTTCATGACTTGGCCAAGTTATTTATTATACAAGACTTTAGCTAGTTAGAATAGGATATTTGTACTTATTGTATATAATTGTGTAGGTTTGTACTTACTGTATATAATTTCGTAGTAGGCTTAGAACTCTCTTACTTAAACAAAAGAGGGAGGTGTTGTGGGAGTATCTTCCGCTGCCTCAGCCAATAGTCGCTGAAGCACGAGCCAACAGTGTGGTGGGGAGCGCCTTTCGCTCCGTCAGCCAATAGCTGCTAAAATACCAGCCCACTGGGGCATGGTACATTTCTCTTTTAAAAAGAGCCACAGATCTTGGATCAGGCTCTCTTGGTTCCGGCGCTTGGTCCCGGCTTCTGCTCCTGGCTCCTGCTCCAGCAACTAGGCTCCCTTTCTGACGGTTTATGGTGTATGTAAGGTTTACCCCCCAAAATAAATAACCCCTTAAAACATAACTGGTGTGGGATTGATTCGCCGATAATTGTCAATGGCTTCTCAGTCAGCCCCCATGTCAGCCACATTCAGAGAATCTGGTTTGATCACATGCTCGTTCAGTCCCAGTCCAGCTGGCCTTGGTGAGCTCTCATTAGATCAGTCCCCATGTATCAGTGGGTGAACGCACTCCTCAAGGTCCTGACATCCTTTTTTATGTTCTCCCTCCTTCTGCTTCTCATTTGAAACTTGAGGGCTCAGTCCAGTGCTCCAATGTGGGTCTCTGTCTCAATCTCCATCCATCATCTGATGAAGGTTCCCTCTGATCCTGACCTCCTTGCTCACGTTCTCCCTCCATCTGCTTCTCATTTGGACCTAGGGAGTTAAGTCCAGTGTTCCAATGTGTGTCTCTGTCTCTATCTCCATCCATCGCCAGATAAAGATACTAAGGTGATATGCAAAATATTCATCAGTATGGTTATGGACCAAGGCCAGTTCAGGCACCCTCTCCTCTGCTGTCCAAGGAACAATCTGGGGACCTCTCCTTGGGCCTGGGAACCCCTCCAGAATCAAGTATCATGCAAACCCTAAAATGGCTCCCTTAGTTGAGATATATACCTCCCTGCTCCCATAACCATCCTTCCTCCCTCCCCTCCATCCCATTCCCCCAAGTTATCCCCAATCCTCCCTCTGTCCCTTCTCTCTAGCCCTCTTCCTTTACTTCCACCCCTCCACCCCCCGTGCACCCAAGTTTGCCTGACAATCTTGTCTACTTCCAATATCCAGGAGGATAACTATATGATTTTCTTCAGGTTCACCTTCTTATTTAGCTTCTCTAGGATCACGAATTATAGGCTCAAAGACCTTTGAGAATCTAGGCTAGGCTAGAATCTACTTATGAGTGAGTACATACCATATTCCTCTTTTTGGGTCTGGGTTACCTCACTCAGTAAAGCGTTTTCTATTTCCATCCATTTGCATGCAAAATTCAAGATGTCATTGTTTTTTACCGCTGAGTAAAACTCTAATGTGTATATGTTCCACACCTTCTTTAACCATTCTTTTGTTGAGGGGCACCTAGGTTGTTTCCATGTTCTGGCTGTTACAAATAGTGCTGCTGTGAACATAGTTGAACAAATGCTTTTGTGGTATGATAGGGCATCTCTTGGGTATATTCCCAAGAGTGGAATTGCTGGTTCCTGAGGGAGGTTGACTCCCAGTTTCCTGAGAAACCAACCCACTGATTTCCACAGTGGCTGCACAAGTTTGCATTCCCACCAACAATGGATGAGTGTTCCCCTCACTCTACATCCTCTCCAGCATAGGCTATCGTTGGTGCTTTTGAGTTTAGCTATTCTGACAGGTGTAAGTTGGTATCTCAAAGTGGTTTTGATTTGCATTTCCCTGATCGCTAAGG